GCTGGTGACGTTTTTCTTCACCACAGACGCTTTGAAACGTTTCAAAAGCAAAACATGATTGATTGATATTACCAAAGCTATATATTCACAAGGATTATATTATTTTTATTTCAGCACCGTAGCACCTGTAGCTGCTTACTATTACCTCTGAAGAAATAACAAATCTCTTCATTTTCTATGATTTTTCACTAGTTTTCTTTTGCGTTCGATATTTCATGTTATGTTTTCTAGAATTCAATTTATTATGGGATATATTGAAAAAGCAGGCCACGACTCTTCATTAGCCCTTTCACTCCAAAGATCTGATTGTTAATTCTCCCCTTTAGTTTCAAAACATTTCTCTGTAAATTAGTGACGAGAATTTGATGTTAGATCACGATTATGACAGCTTCTACCTGATAAGTTTGAATATTCTCATCACCTGTTTGCTGGATAATGTATGGATATTATAGGGAGAAGTTACATGCTAATCACTTCTGGGAGTTAAAGGGTTAATTATTCCCTTGTCACGGTGACGAACGTTCAAACAATTGATCTGTCAAACGATAGCCAGTCAGCGCTTATCAAATCGTTTTTGTTAGTTCGGCCGTGTTATAAATTGATTGCTTTACTCTTATCAAACGGCCTCCTCACTTATTTCCCAGTCTCTAAGGTCTTCTTTAGCCTGTACGGCAGCTTTCTTCTAGAGTGATTTATAAAATGAAAGTTTTTCCACTAACACGACCAAAACAAAGTATTTGGTCAGGAATGCAGTAGCAAGGTACTCCAGGAGATGGGCCAAATGGTCTACACTGTCGCAGCTTATCTCAGTTTCTGTAGCTTAGAGCAACTTAGATTATACTTTTCCTCCACGGGATGGGATGGTTGTCGGTCGCATGGCATTCCTCCCACCCCTACCCCCTCCTCTTCCATCCCTAGGCTAGGATTTCGTCACATTTCTCGGTTAATTTGCCGGTAGACCACCTTGTCGCACACTGTAATAGATTGTGTTCAATTATTAAGTGTGGTCTGCCTGTGGTAATACCAAAAGCCAACCTAAGTAAGAATTCCTAATAGTGATTTTTCTTATTCCCTGCCATACTACTCTTGTGATGTTACTTCGGAGATTTTGGTATTGGATCAACATTCCCTCAATTGATGTTTTCCTATATTCTCATCACTTGTCTGCTTGATATTGTTTTGATACTGTAAGGAAAAATTCTGTCTTGGTCACTCAGGGGAGTTAGAAGGTTAAACTAGTGGAGTAGAAGCAGTAGGTGGTAGGAATAGCACAGTCTGAAGCAATCGCAAGTCTAAACATGCAAAATTTTAACATCGTCGGCCATAAGACGAGAGAATTCAACATTGATCTTTCTTTCAGCTGAACAAATGATTTCTTCGTACCACTTGACGATACTTAAAGCTGATGTAAAAAAAGTACAAAACGATCACTCAAGTGTGGTTCTGCGACACTTTTTCGATTAAAAAGGCGTCGGTCGGCCCAACCCTCCATTCCGCATTTTTTGAAAGATCAATATCTTCGCAAAACTTTCGCATCATAGACGTTTGCGTTGTGCTTTTGAAGAATTTCTCGTAATTAAAGGGTTTCATATGTTATGTTAGCGGTCATTAGTGCATGTAGTGTGTTGTGTTCATGGCGTCGAGGCGTTGTAATTCATAAGTGCATTTTATTTTTGATGATTACAGCTTGAGTTTTCTACGGCTCCCTGTGCACACCCACAACGGTTAACAATAAGTTGAAACAAAAGATGTCAAATCGTACTGTTTTAATTCAATCTTCCAACCGTAACCCTAGTGGTTAATCTGTCTTGATCTACTAATGAAAATGATGCTGTAACCACAAGTTTTTTTTGTTAGCACTGAATCTCGACCTTTCCCGACAGATGGCACCGAGTAAACTATCTTTAATTCCGGCTTACAACACAAGATGGAACAGCAAATTCGTATCGCGTTTTATTTCATATTTTACAAACCGTGACGACTAATTGACAAATCAGTCTTGCGTGACATGTTCCTGTTTTAAATCGTTTTCTCTTTTGAATGTTAATGCTACGCGAAGAGGTTTCTCTTTCGTAGTTATCAGGTGCACGTTGGCGCCAGAAAAACTGCAAAGTTGTACAAACAGTGAACTAGACCATTTAAGGACAAGCCCACTATTTAAGGTTGGTCTGTTCTTTTTTTTTTTTCTTTTCTTACACCGCCTGGAAGTTTTTCGAGCGAATGCTTCATTCACGCTATGTTGACAACGATATGGAAATCGACGAAGTATTGAAGATTTCGGCTGTCGATTGAGCTTAAAACACGATCCGCGAGCTAAATGATCACGAAGAACTTAACTGACAACGCTCGAAGAATGCTTTTGCTTATAACGAGGACACAAATCATCAGAAATGTTCGACGAGAAACCGCAGTGATAATGCTGTCGAAAGAATTGTTTTTTATTCGTAGATAGTGCGTTTTATGGTCTTCTTGAATAGATTAAAAGTTACCTGTCTTCGGCGGGAAGATTGTCACAAAGAATTAAATCTAGTTTCGTCACTTTTTTTCTTTTCTCTCCCAATAGAAGAAGAAAAGCATAGATCAGGGTAAATAAGGTAAAAACTGGGGTTTTTTTTGGGCTTTAAAATAATGCCCGAGGTTGTTTTGAATTTATCAGTAACCATGAGTACCGTTTCTAACATATAAACTTAGCTTATTTAATTAAATCACCTATTAAATACTGGAAGGATGATAAATATCCTATAATTTCTGTCGAGTTGCACTAACTTCGTCTTTTCTTTAATCTTTCTTTTTTTAACAGAGATCACGCAAATGTATAACTATAAAATTCATATGTCATATGAAACAGCTAACATTAAATCAAAACATCGGGAAAATTCCGAGAAAACGAATATTTTTTTCGGGATTGGTCGGGTTTTTCTATTTACGATTGAATTTCCTCGCTGTATGACCCGTTTTTTAAGAAGTTTTGTCGACTTTATTTTTGTTACTTTCGCATGATGTTGTTTGATCAAAAAGGCTTAGGCGTTGTATAATCACTTTTAAAAAGCAATTCAAAGCGTCTGTGATTCCCGCGAATTTCATCGAAAGCATAATTGTCATATATTGTTTCCGGTGTTTTTCACGGCTAAAACTGGCCTCGACCCTGTAGTTCACGTTCCACAGCCACCTTCGCTTCTTCAAATCCTTCACCACATTCAGTTTTAATGATGTAAAGGGGAATCAGAAACTCCCACCCTGATAATGATTCACGATAAAAAGTCGACAAAACCTTCTCGTCCCACTGAGGAATTGGCAATCATATTTTCTACGGAAGTAGATAAATTCCTCCTTAATATCTTTGTTGATGCCTCAAACAAATTTTAATTGATTAATGCAAAGGGGACATTGCGGAACAGAAACTCAGTCGGCGAAGTTAAAAAGAGGAGGTTGTAAGTCTCGATTACTTACCCTTGAATGAATGATGGAGACAGAAATTCTCCTTACAATATCAATATAATATCAAGCAGACTCGTGCTGAGAAGAAAGTGAAATATTGGTTGATTCAATACCAAATTCTCCAAATTAACATCATAACAATTATACGGCAGACAGTAAGGAGAATTACTAATGAGATCTTGAGAGTTCAAGGGTTAAGGGGGGTAATCTAGGGGCATGTTTATAAGGGCAATTCATTTCTTTCTCGCGCGAAACAAAGGGGGGGCTGGTGCGTATTTATGCAGAAAGGTCATTTGATAATATCGTTGTTATGACTTTTATTAGTTAACAGTATTTAAAATCATGCCCCTTGAGGCTCATCGATAGAGTGGCTGTGCCATTCGTCGCCTTAACTCAGCTCTTAACTTTTTAACTCCCATGAGTGACCAAGAGAGAACTTCTCCTTACAATATCCAGAGAATATTAAGCAGAAAAGTGATGAGAATAAAGAAAAATAGCGATTAGGGAATTTTTACTCGATCAAAAGCCAAATTCTCCAAACTAACATTGTAAGAACTGCATGGCAGAAAGTAAGGAGAATTACTATTGAGATCTTGGGAGTGAAAGGGTTAATAACGATTTTATACTAATGGTTACATATGTGGTTATCGTGACCGAGAAATAACTGAGAAATATCTTTCAGCTGTTGGTTTGAATTTCAAAGGCAAGTTTGCTCCAAAGTCAAGAACGATGGGTGTTCTTCTGTCCAAGAAGAAAAACGAGAAGCGGCAGAGCTTCCAGGTATTAACGAAAAAAACTTGTTCAAGTAAACTGAGATGGCTGTAGTTTAACTTTAGAACAGCGATATATCAGCTGCGTGTTGTCACCCCTAAACCGAAGTGTTTTAAATAGAAATTCTGACCGAAAGAGGAAAACAAAGTGCACCAAGAAATAAGTTTGGGAAGGACACGGGTGATGTCACTGGAGATAACTCTTGGTTTTGTTTTATTTTATCACTCGTCA